TAATCGCAAACGACACTTGACACCTTATCCGCCGAGCGATCGACCAGAGCTAACTTCTCGGATTCTCAATTAACATTTAACTTGCTGACATTTAACTCGTTCGACTCGCGTGGTGTACACAGCCGCGTGCGTCTCCGCACCTTGAAACGTGATCTCACGAAGACCATCCGTAGTCGTGTCCGAGCCAATTAGGCCCGGATAGGTACGGTATCGGATGGGAAACGGATGTTGCACCAACGAGCACGGTTGTACACCCGGATCGTCCGCGTTCCGCGGTCGAAGACGCGTTTCTAAAGCTACGTTCGCGTAAGTGTGATCGCAGTCAGATCTTGCCGAGCGCTCTCGCTCGGAAAGTAGAAGTTCATTTCGAGGAACATCCCGAGAAATATAAACTCGACGTCGATAAGCACGCGGTGATAAAAGCTCGCACTATTTACGACTGTGTGGAAAAGCTTTGAATCGTTGTCGCGGAATATCGAGGAACGTAAAGTGCTCGCGTGTATACGCGCGAATACTGAGTATAATATATAATATATGTATATATATTCCTCGGTACTCCCTCGGATATATAGGAGGATCGAGTGTTGTAGATCGCTGGGTGCGTCTACGACGCGCGAGACTCTCGCGAGACCTCAGAAATGGAGAACACAAACGGAGTCTGGCAAATATGAACTGAAACCGTCTCTGGAGGTTCCCTCTTTCTCGTTTCGCAGGAAACGGCAGAGAGCGAGCGTTCGAAAGCAATGTCGTGCATTTAATCTTATTTCCATTAAAGCCAATTAAAGTCATATCACGGTGCGTCACGTCGTATTTCTAAACGCAACTTTCGAGGTGACTTCATGATCGTACAGCCAGCATGTCTGAATGTCACGATAAGTCCGCGCATCTCGACGCGATCGCGATTGCAATGCCTTTGGGGTGGGCTTTTAAGAAAATTAAGTAGCCGGTAAAAAGTCACGTATTCCTTGCACGATACCGTCGCAGGACTATTAATAGTAATCGCAGGATACGGTCGTGCTTAAGCGCGCTCAATGAGAATGTATCGCGAATGACTTCGTTTTCCATTTAGAGAGATTATCAGAGCTGTCACATCTATTTCGGTCCTTCTTCCTAAGAATAGTGAGATCGAATCAAATGAGAGAAAGAGCGGTAGAGAGTATAGAAGGAGAAAGACAGAGACGGCATTAAGTAAATTGGTTTAGCAAAGCCGGGAGGGAGGTCGGGGAAAGTCGGGAAATTTGAATGTTGTCTTTATAGCAACCGAATCGGCGAATGTTACACAGTTAAAGAGAATCAGAATGTAATTTAGAACGTAGTTACCGAAGACGTCATATTTGTTATCCAGTACGACCATCGAACGCTCGTCCCCTACTTAACGCTGTTCTACTTCTTCTAATATGACAGAACAATAAGAAACATTTTGTATATAATGTTTTATGTATATACGCACACACAATAGAACGCCAACTCGGCGACTCGTGCGAGTTTGCGCCGTTGCGAACCAGTTCGTAACTATTGTCGGCGTTGAATATCTCACGATTCTCAGTGATGTATTATGTAGATCGGAGGGGATATAAACGGGTAGTTAGACCAGGTAGGTCATGTCGCCTACGCCTGGCCTGGAAAGGCCGCAACGAATATTTTGAGGGCTTCACGCGAGCAACGAGGCATTCCTTTCGAAAATTCCGCGAACCGGCCGTGGTCTCGATATTTTCCTCTTCGCCTCTTCTTCCCGCTTCCTTTTCTCTCAAACAATAACAAGAACAGACCGAGCGCGAATTGCGCAGTACTCGCCTGCGTCGTAGCCCGGATTCGCGCGCACGATGATCCCGATTGGAATTTAATTGAGTCCGGTTGAAAATAGTTGTCACGCGATAATTGGACGTCGGCGATAAGACTTCAATTAATACAATCCGATTAAGCACATCGCGCTGCAAGTGAGACTTATTTATAGAGTCAGGCTACAGGACAGATTTATGTATCAATTAAGTGAACGCGACAATGCCAAACGCAATACTCCTCGAGTTCGAGCGTTACTTCTCTAATTAATGTCACACACGAAATATCTGCCACTCTCCTCAATTATTATTTCGACAGACGTTCGGCATACGGAGATGCGTCAAAGGAAGCTGCGGTGGCCAAATGATCATGTACTTTATTTAGCATCTGGTAAACGCCTGTGTGATCGACATTTTTTCAGTGCGAATGACGCGTTTCCCTCTGTCGTGCATATTTTTATATTTACGTTTGCGTGCGCGTATATATTAAATATAGACTCACATATATATAAACATATATATAGAACAGACGACGAGACCGCACCCGCGAGCCGTGTTCGCGCGTTATTTACGTCAGCCGCGCAATCTTTGTTTACCAGTTTACATGAAAATCGCGGAGGCGCGGATTACCTTGGGAATGGTGGCCGTTGATCACCGATAAAATCGTCCAGCACGGAATTCTCGTCGCAGCAGCCAATAAAGCCACGATCAATAATTCAGCGCAGAACGTCGTGTGCCCGTCTGGCTTCGAGACGCTTAATGTAACGCGATAATTCGATTCATAAAGTGTTATAAACGTTAATGGTTATTTAAGGAAACTAAAGTCGCACGGCATCGCAAAGATCGAAGCGAACGGCTTGCGAAAATACAGAAAGAGCGAGAGAGAGAGAGAGAGAGAGGGGGGGGGAGTAGGAGGAGGAAAGGGAAAAGCTAGATGGCGCAATTAAGGATTTCCGATGTGAGGGCAAAGTCGCCTGAAAACGTACGCTTTTATATTTATCGGGGAGCGCGCTTCTATGCGAAGGCATCGCACCTGCGAAACTTACGAAACACCCTGTGTAATGACCTCCAGGTCGAAAATCGATCGTAGTCGCTCTTCATCGCGCCGTCGAGGGCCAATGAGCTCGCTCAAGCCGGTTCCCCATTAATATTTTCGATCACGTTGCGAATTATCGCGACGTGTTTACACGACGCCGATAATCTGCGGACGCACCGCCAGTAGAATTTTATAAGAGCGGCGACGCTCTTTTCGACATCCACGTCGCCTGCTGACGACGTCGAGGGTGAGGCGACAGCGCGTCAATGAGTTCACGAAAGCTCGGCCGGCTGGCTGATAAATACGTTATGATAACGCGTATACCGCAATATGCTGCAACATACGATATATTTGCACGATCGCAAACACAGAGTCGCGAACGATATTATTTATTGTAGTACATTATATCGGCGGGTGAATGCAAAAATCTCCCGTGGATTCCGTGATAGAAAAAATGGGCAGATCATTTGATTGAAAACGCGATTTACTCATTCCACTGAGTAATCGCTATCGTTTTCTATTACCTTCGGAGTATTGCACATCCACATGCACTAACATCAAACTGGGTCGGTTGTAACACCTTTGAGAAACCCATCATTTTTGCGCTCACTCAATATTACAACAATACAACTGTATGCATGTGTGTGTGGGTGGGTGTGCGCCATATATATGCATGGAGACACGTAATGCTCAATATCTAAAGAAGCGATGTCACATAAGCGGAAACCATGCACTGGCGCGCGTCTTTACACGCAGCCGAAGAGTACCCGTAAAACGCCGAAGAGGGGTGAAAGGAGAGAAGGGGTTGCTCGCAATCGGCCCTCCTCTGTCGCCCGTTCAGTGCTCATGCGACCGTCGTTGGTACCGGACGTATGCGCGGCGACGTACGCGATTTCCGGCGCGTCGTGAGAGCCGCACGCGCGTGAAGGCTTAGGCTATCGTTCACACCGGGCTCGATGACACGTCACGTTCGCGACCGTCGGAATATTTCGGTCTGAAAAGCAAATCAAACTTTCGTCGCTGCGACGCGAGTGCATCGCGAGCGACGAAAGGACATCGCACAGGACTCGCTCGACGGCGTCGTGTCCTTCGCGTCGCGATTTTCAAAGCACCGTGATTCACGTACACACACCCCGCTTCTCCGATCCGCGATCGTGACGTGTGGTGCGACTGTATTTACTTGAACGCGCGATTACGTTCGAAAGGAGGTGAGAATTCACGCGAGGGATTACCGTCGCTCGATGCGATTATCCTCCGAGCGCGAATGATTTCGCTGTTAATAAAAGCGTGCTACTCCCTCTGAAACGTTAAATCGGACGTCACGACGAAATCATGTGCGAGTTTTTTTTATTCCATTTCTCGCAAAGAAGCACTCGCTGAGGAAATATTCGACCCGTCAAGTACTAGGTGTATGTAACAAAAGACTGCGGACTGCGCGAAATCCCTCCGTCGAGCTCGAGCTCATTAATCTCGATTAATTTGCCGTGCTCGTTGCGGCACGGTCGTGTCGCTGGAACTCGCAGCTCGCGCGAGCTTCTGCGCACTGCGACGCGACGCGACGTGATGCGGTGCGATATTAACACAATACAGTCAAAGGACCCATATCTCCACGGTAGGGTGAAGATCGCGCTGGATTATAAGAATTTTGCACCTACGCTGCAGTACGACGTGCGACGTGCTACGTGACGATCGTTGATCCTCGATGTGAACGGCAGCGCGAACGTGTGGGATCGTGGACGATGCTGCTGCCGTGCGAGTCGATCGAAGGAGAGCCGCCTGTTTCTCGTTTTGTATTTAAACAACACGTCGTGACGTCGGATGACGCAGAAACGCGCAATACGCGACTCGCAGGTCGCGCGAGACGGGATCCTCCGAGTCGGGTCGCGACCACGGAACGCGATGCGGTTTCTCTCTGTCCTGTGTCTCTCCCCAGCGATTATTATATCCTTTTTTTATTTGCCCCCGAATGTCGTGCTCGCGAGGATGATTCGACGGATGCGAGGATGGTACCTGAGCGTCGTGAAAAATTCGGGATGGACGAGTGAATAATAATCAACGAACTCGTAATGCCGCAGTAACTGTCGAGATATCATCCGCGGTTTCGGCGTCGTTCTGTCTTTCTTCTTCCTCTCTCTCTCTCTCTCTCTCTCTCTCTCTCTCTCTCTCTCATTCTCTGGTGGGCGCTTTTTACCTGCGGCTCTCGAGAGATTTATCGCATCGAAGGGGACTGCACAAAAATGTGATAAACACGCCGCCGCATAGTAGTGCGCCGTGTTACGCCGCAGAAATTTCGTCGCTTCTCTCGCCGCGAATTATTTGTCGAGCGAATTCAGACCGCGCCGATGCGGAGTATCGATATCCAGTAGCGCGATGCCGGCGAGGAATATCAGACGGCAGCAGGTCAAAAGATCAGAACCGGCCCGGTTACACGAGAATTAGCGGGTCGATGATGCTCGCGCGCCGCGAGTTTAATTTCCACGTAGCTCGCCTACTTTTCCTCGAAGCGCGAATTAATTTTATCCACGCACGCGAGCGAGCCTTGTTTCGTTTCCGCTTGCGGTCGTTTCGATCAAATATTATGTCGCTGCGACTCTCTTCCTCTTTTTCTCAACACGCCAACCGAACGCGACACCTCACGAGCCGCGCGCCGAGATGACGAGCGTCGAAATGAGCAGCCCGGTGTGACCAAAGCGTGAACGGCCTTTCTTTCGTTTCAGCGACGGTACTCAGCAGAAAGCAACGTGGTGAAATATATGCGTGAAACCGCGGCGGAAGCCAGGAGAAAGCATCGCGCGACTCCCATCGCGCCTCATTAGCCTGTGTAAACCGAAGCCCACGGCTGCTGCTCCTGCCGGCTAATCATGACAGATCGCGGAAATATTCGATCGCGTAGATCCGCACAGCAAAGAATCTCCGGCCGGTGCGATCGGTCCGCGATCGCGATCGGAGCACGTCGTTAGACGACTCCGCTCGACTCCCGCTCGATCATCCTCGAGCTCTCGCCCTCTCTTGCGCGAGCGAAGCGCGTTAGCACCCACCTGAACACACGTCCCCCGTGATCGCGAGTCGCCGCCAAATGAGAATAGAGCGTGGCGCGCTGCGACGGAGGAAGGAATTCGAGGATCGCGTCGTCGCGCCATACGGTTCGCACTTCCGGATCCATCTGGCGCGCAGGAGCGATCGATCCGCGCGTCGCATCGATCGCGTAACATGTTCGCAGGCGCGAACGAGTCGAAGCGATGGACGAGGGATAACAGGATCCTCCTGAGGTAATTCGCGCGCGTCGATCGCGAGGAAAGGAAAAAGGGAAAGACGAAGGATGTATAAATGAAGGAAGGAACGAGACGAGTGTTACAGCGGTAAACTCGCGATACGAAAGAACGACCCAATCGACCTGTGTGAATCGCGCGTGAGCATAAATTGTTGCTGTCGATAATCTGGTCAATATCGCTGCTGCGGGATTGCAACGTTGCGAAGTAGTTTTGCAATTAGTACATTAATAACACGAGCCACTGGCTATTATTGTATCGGCCGAGTGCGAAAGTTTTGTTGGCTTTCTCGAAGATCTCGCGAATGATTCGATTTGATGGCAGCATTTACTAATATGCGTATCGAATTACTTTTTTATCGAGTTACTTGGTCCGTTTCTTTATTACGAAATCTACCAAAATCTTTGTGCTCGCCCGATATGATCGTGACGTTAATAAAGCAATTAGTTTCGGTTCATTATTACTACTCGTGTTGGTTTATATCGCAGAGAGCCCTTTTGCTGAAGGCGTTGGTTTCTCTCTTTTTTTTTTTCCTGTGACATGCTACACTCGCGCGATTGCCAAATAATTTCTGCGCGTCATCGCGATATTTCCTCATCTCGATAACTCTGTGATGGATAAATGACGGGCATGAGCAAATAAACTCGATCGCTGCGATGCACATCGATAAGCATCGATAGAGTATCATTACGAGTGATGATGCATTAGTTAAAGAATTAAAGAGCTGTGGTACCTCGCTGAATGCTGCTTTTAGTTTAGTCGCACGTACACGTGCGTGTACAACCGTGCCGAACAACGTAGCGGCTCGATTGGCCGATAACCCTCGAGTCAAAAGTTCGCAAAGTATCGCGACTACCGCGACCTCACGGATTTCGTCCTCTTCTCTCGCCGTCGCCGTCGCATCAATAGACTGTTGAGCGCGCTCCAGGGAGATATTAAGCGATCCTCCTTTTCCCCATTATTCGACAGAGCTGCGAAGGACCTTGAGGAACGTCGCAGCCACTACGAGCCGTCGCTTCAGCCGGGGGTCCCCGATGACGTCGACCATACCTTCAATCTCGAGGAAAATGACTTCGTGCCCCACTTCCAGCGAGTCTCCATATCCGGCGAGGATACTTCCGGGGTGAGTCTTCGGGGCTTATTACGTCCCGGCAGTTTCTTGCTTCTTGATAGATACTTCGTTATTCTTCTCCTTAGACAATCCGTAGATTCATGAGTTTACTCTATGGCGGTTTATTCAAGACAGAAGACGCGGAATTACGATTCGCGGGCAACAATCACCGCGTTGCTCGTCGAGAATCTTCAGCGCGACTATGTAAGACTCGTCGAATACGGGTTACGAGCTTACGAGTTGGGTTTGCGAGTTGCCAGTTACTTGTTTCAATGATCAAAGCGGAAATAAACGAGAAGGGAGATGCGTTCTATGAAATAATTATGAGATACGATCGATACGAAGCACAGCGAGATGTAACATCAGCTTTATGGTTTCGTTGGTATTACGTATTGCGATGCGTCTCCGGAGATGTTGCGTGAAGTGGAAACCTTGGGACTGCGGACTTACGCGAGAAATCCTTGGCCGCTAGCTTTCGCCCCCTTCCTCCCTTGCGCCTCTGAGTCCGCATTACTCACCTGTAATCGGTGCGATGAATCGCATCGAGTTCGCTCGACCTCGATGTCGAAAATATCACGAACGCTTTGCGCAATTTCGAGTTTGTATAAATAGCTTGTCGTTTTTACGGCCATATCGGAGAGACAGATCGTATCTTTTATCCTGCAATTTTGATTGAATCTCCTTGACAAAGAACATCGCGAATATCCAACTGTTGATTTTCAAAGAACCAATTAGGAATAATTTATTGAATTTATTAATCGATTTCAATCGTCGGACAAATATTCGCCGCCGAGTATACCTCCGATCAGCCTGACCTTGATTATTTTCGTTTTCCTTCGATCTTGCCACCGTGTGCAGGTGCCTCTGGAAGATCTCCAGAGGTCTTCCCAAATGCTGGTGCAGGCCCTGGCGATACGCGAGAAATATATGAGCAACTCCAGACAAAGCTTCCCCTCCATCACGTCAAGATTCTTACGCAGTATCGACAAAAGACCGCTCACCATGGACGACGAGATTCATCATGAGGACCGTAAGGCTATCGAAGGTAATAATTGTTGTTGATTGATGCGATGGCTCGAACCTGGTCAAACTGTGTGTCAGAGAGCCAGTCGGAAGAGGTTCCATACTCCTTCGTATCCTTAACACAGGTACTCTTCCTGTTGATTATTTTCTCTTCTCTCTCCTCTCTTTTTCTGCTTCCCTCTCTCCCTCTCTCTCCCTTTCTCTCTGTTTCTTTACCGTCGTCTCATCAAGAGATACATGATTGTCGTGTCATGAAACATCCCAGTGTAATTAACACTAGCGCTTATTGCTTCAGCAGGCGCCGATGTAACCGAGTAACGACAGCCAACCTCGTCGCTCGTGTGCTGTGTATTGTAATCTTCTCTGTTTCTTTTTCTTTCTTTCTGTGTCTCCCGCCCCCCCCCCCATTTTCTCTGTCTTTCTCTTTATGACTTTGTATCTCTGTTCTTTCTCGTCGGAAACGTGTGCGCAGCGGTGTCTAATCATACGTGTCCTCCACGTACGGAGCTCATACAAAGGCACAGCTTTACATAGAGTTTACCAAGCACCACATACTTACTAGCGTATGATCTCTAGTGACATACAAAAGTCAGTTTTATTATATATATATTTCCTAAGGGAAAAGGCTGCTGGATAATGAGAACGAAATCAGGGGTGCTCGATCCGACGTGGACATCGACGCGCTGATCAAAGACGTCTTTCGTACAGGTCCTCCTATACCTAATTAATATCCTTACCTCGAATTTCTCCTGTTGCACGCTGTTTCGAGTCACGCGTTGCTACTTGTTCTGAAACCATTTGCAGATTTGTAGAGTCTCTCTCTCTCTCTCTTTCTTTCTTGTTCTTTTCTCCCTATCTTTCTTTCATTCTCTTTTTTGTTTCTCTATCTTTCTTTCATTTTCTCTTTTTCTCTTTCTGTTTTTCTTACATTTTCTTTTTTCTCTTACTTTCTCTCTCTCTCTCTCTCTCTCTCATGCGCGCGCGTGCGCGCAAAAACAAGAATACGTACACGTCGAATAATAGCAAAACAGCGCTGCGGCAACAGACGGTCCGACTACGCTAAATAAGTGTTGCGCTACAACGAACGCCTCCTTTAAATACACCAGATCACCCGGTGCACGCGCCGGCGTCTCGAGGCGACCCGTGGGAGTGCGAATTTCCGCCGACGAAGAACTACACGATCGCACCCGTCAACGGCGTCTTCAATGTATACGTTAACGACGAGGACCTGGCCAACGGCAAACCGATCCCGTATTCGTACCCGGACCTAGCCACCTTCGTCAGGGACATGAATCAGCTGTGCGCGATGATGGCCGACGGGCCCTTGAAATCCTTCTGCTACCGTAGGCTGAGTTACCTCTCCTCCAAGTACCAACTGCATGTGTTGCTGAACGAGCTGCGGGAGTTGGCGAGTCAGAAGGCCGTGCCCCACAGGGACTTCTACAATATCAGAAAAGTATATACGTTAATAGTTTAGCGCCATAAGTACACCGTCCACGGGATAATTTGCAGAATCTACTTCAGGCGAGCGAGAACGTCGTCGTAATTATACAAAATGAAATTGCTGCGTAAGAGACTCGGAGCACTCGTTGATCAAAGTTGAAAGCGGAATTACACACCCGTGTGTATACATTCTCAGAGATAATTTTGTTTAATGAAGATAATCATCGCTAGCTTCGATGTATATATATTGTCCATATAGAAAAGAAATACTTCAATCCTTTTAAACTTTGCCGACTGTATTTGATATGACGAAGTTAACAAGATAAGCAAACGACGAATTTCTGATACAAGTTTGGTATGATATAATTTCCCGATTGGCGAGACGTCTGAAGAGAGACGTTATGCGAAAAAGAGACAAATTTTGAATTGCGTGGAGATTCTTCAAGATTGAACTTTCTCGTCGATATGTCAACAAGTGATTGTGTTGAGATATGTCACTATTGATTTCACAGGTCGATACTCACATACACGCGGCCTCCTGCATGAATCAAAAGCACCTGCTCAGATTCATCAAGAAAACATTGAAGAATCACGCGGACGAAGTGGTCACTTGTTCGAAGAGCGGTGAGACCATGACGCTCCGTGAAGTTTTTCAATCTATGAATCTGACGACCTACGACTTGAGCGTCGACATGTTGGACGTGCACGCGGTAAGTGTGTTCGCACACTTGAGTGAGTAACATCATCACGTTCACCGAACACGTCCTCGAAGCTCGACGAGGATATATAACAAGTCCTCCTCCTTTGCAGGACAGAAACACGTTTCACAGATTCGACAAGTTCAACGCGAAATACAATCCTATCGGGGAGAGTCGTCTGCGAGAAGTGTTTCTGAAGACCGACAACTATTTGAACGGGAAATTCTTCGCGAGTATAATCAAGGAAGTTGCGAGTGATCTCGAGGAGTCCAAATATCAGAACGCAGAGCTGCGTCTTTCGATTTATGGCAAGAGCCCGGAAGAATGGGACAAGCTGGCCAAGTGGGCGATTCAAGGCGACGTCTATTCGGACAACGTGCGCTGGCTCATACAGATCCCCAGACTGTAGTAAGCTCCGCAATTGACACGTATGCGACCGCGAAACTCTTCCAGTTCGTTCACAGATTCTCGTCATTCGTGCTTCACATTGCAGCGATATCTTCAAGCTGAACAAACTCATGACCAATTTCCAAGAGATCATCAACAACATCTTCTTGCCGCTGTTCGAAGTAACCAACGATCCCAGTTCTCACCCGGAGCTACACAAATTCCTCCGCTACGTACGTCTAACAAAATCTCTTGTTTTGTTGTTTCCTCGGTCCGCTCGTTATTTTCCTTCTAGTAGAACGAAGAAAATGTTCAATCAGCCATATTGTCGTTGCAGGTGATAGGCTTCGATTCCGTGGACGACGAAAGCAAGCCGGAGAATCCTCTCTTCGACAAAGATGTTTGTCCGCCCGCGGAATGGGACGACATCGAGAACCCGCCTTACGGATACTATCAATATTATACCTATGCGAATATGACTGTTCTTAATCATTTTAGAGCGTACGTTGTTCCATTTTATCAGATCCATGTTCATGGTTTCAGCCCCCGGTGAACGCCAAGTAATAGTAACATTACATTAATGTTATAACTTCTCACTCAATAATGTAAATGCGATATAACGTGTGTTGCACACAACGGTGACATTGTTGAGCGGGAAATTATAATACACTGATGTATAATACATTGATGCAATGTTATTACTCAATTCTCCATTGGATTAATTAATATCGATTCTACCGATTAATTCAGCTAATTAATTATAACGTTCTTGACGTCAAATCTCTATACAGGGAACAAGGCTTTAATACATTCGTCCTGAGGCCTCACTGCGGCGAGGCCGGGCCCGTTCAGCATCTTGTTTGCGGTTACATGATGGCAGAGAATATCTCGCATGGCCTGCTGCTCAGAAAAGTACCCGTGCTCCAATACCTGTATTATCTAGCACAAATCGGCATCGCGATGTCACCGCTCAGTAATAACTCGCTTTTCCTGAACTATCATCGTAATCCGCTGCCGGAGTACCTTGCTAGAGGATTGTGCATAAGCTTGTCCACGGACGATCCTCTCCAATTTCATTTCACTAAGGTGCGCGAGAGAGAGAGAGAGAGAGAGAGAGAGAGAGAGAGAGAGAGAGAGAGAGAGAGAGAGAGAGAGAGAGAGAGAGAGACAATTAGCGCTCTCACCGCGGGGTAACACCGCGACAAATTTATTCGCACAACTCACTAACGCGCGCACAAAGAAGTGTTATTAGCGTATAATTAGTGCACCCCGTGGGAGTTGTGATGAATGATGGTGTATAATTAATTGCAGGAACCCCTGATGGAGGAGTACAGTATTGCCGCGCAAGTGTGGAAACTCAGCTCGTGCGACATGTGCGAGCTAGCGCGCAATTCCGTTCTCATGAGTGGCTTTCCGCACAAGGTGAATATTAATAACGAAATTCCCGACGATTTTCTCCGGTTTACCGGGATGTCTCAGGCTCCGATATTCATATAGTCGGATTTTACGTTTAAGATGGTCTTATATAAGTCTTATCATCAAACACTTCGTAGTCAATAAAACGACTCATATAACATCTGTAGACGGACTTAAGACGGTCTTAAATACAAAACCCGAGTATGAATACCTTTATTGTAGTTATAATGGGCGTATTAACGGGCTCTGATCGCGACACCATTTCAACCCATTGCATCCCGTAAACCCTGCTTCACGCATAGACGTGAAATCAAACGGAATCAAATATCACGAATATAGTCCGACGGATTATACGTGAATGCAAATGATGTTGCAGAGCAAGCAATACTGGCTGGGACCTAACTACACGAAAGAAGGAGTCGCTGGTAACGATATCACGCGAACCAACATGCCAGATATACGAGTGGCCTACCGTTACGAGACGTTGGTCGACGAACTGTCCAATATCTTCAAGGTCGCAGAGAAGCCCGAATCGGTTTTATTCTAATAACCTGATTATTATTTTAGATTCATCACAGAATCGGTGGATTGACGATTGCTATGATGTACACTTTGTAGACCGATGAATTGCAAAAGCATTGATCAATCATAGTGATCAATATATACGACTTATACTTGCGATTACGTCGTGGCCTTCTATATTTCGGGGTATTCCTAAGACGTAATAAGTTTACCAACGAGAACATTCTGTGTAACGCGAATGATTTTTTCAACGCTATAGAGTTACATATTGGTCTTTTCTTCTTGACATATTCCAACAAAGTTCTTTCGGATAGAACTCGACTTCGACTCGGATATTATTCGAAATATACTTGAATGGTAGCAAAACACTCGAAGAGGAAAGAAACGTATTGTGCGTAAAAATGGGTCAGTGTAATTCAATTGGAACTTTACGTTGTATCTCTTTTATTGATGATCGTAGATTCTTGGATTACAGGGGTAAGTTTTAATCAGAAAAATATTTTATACTTGTGCGTTGACCAATTTAATAGTAGCTGTTAGAAGGTATCCCTTCTATTATTACGACGTTAATAACGATACCGCAGCGTATATGTAGTTGTAATACGAAGTAAGCTAGACGTGAGTATTACATTAATTTACCCTTAGTGTTAAGCGTCTCGCGAGGGGGATGAAATCCGTTTTTCATATCTCCAGCTGTGCTTGGCAACAGCGCTGCCCTTTCTTGGATTTTTAGCTTTATTTTCTTACATTTTTGTACATTTATATCATGAAAAAAAGAACTGTGTACGACGTTCGTCTCGGCGAGCATTTAGACAGCTGCGGCTCGTACGCGCGGACAGTTAACTCGTGCCATTGTACATATGGTACATAATGTATCTTCCTTTCGTGAGTCTAGACGGTATGTAAATATGGATTTAATTTAATTTAGAACGTAATGTAGTACATTTCACGGACTGTGCACGCGTGCCAAGGGATAATTCAGCGAATATGATACGCTACCTCTTTTAACTTGTCTTGATTCCGCAACACTGGCTTTGTTCGTTGCTTTCCGCATTCATCAATCGTCTCTGTCTCTCGAGGGAACTTTCCGAACAACGAGCCTAGTTGAGCGATATACGACGACTTATGACATCCGAACATTGTGCCCCGATATTGAATTATATTACAAATTGTTACTAGACAGATAGAGAGGAAATATATTTATTGTAAAAAGCGTATACCACAAAGCAAGAATATATACCTGCAATGTTAAACTCGAATATTCGTTGTTATCTCAACTGATACGCACCGACAATATCCCCGATTTATTCAGTTTGCGAAAGTTAACAGGATGACGCACGATCTCAGTAAACAAGAATGAGCATGCGATTCATTTTTATTCAATTTAATTATGGAAAAATATAAGCAGTGAGATAATAAAAATAACATCTCTCGAATACTACTTGTCACTATTTTACAGAAACATATACATGCATATTTGTATAAATCAATGGACGGAATTCCATTGTCACTTTAGTTAAGCGTTATTTCCATCTGATCATTTTTCTTATATTTTTCTTACATGCCAATTAGGCGAGCGTTAAAAAGTGTCAGGAAGAATTCGTTATTACATAACCGAAGATGAATCACGGTGCTTTGTTTTCATTTATTTTTAATAATGTTAGTGTATCTAATTCACTTTCTTAGGTATCGGCTGCAAACTTTGCTTAATCTTTGGTACTACTTCCGTGAATATAACTGTACCCACGAAGACTAGTATCGTGCCGACCCAATGATGTAGAGTAAACGGATTCTTAAAGTAAATTATAGAAAATAGCAGAGACAGGAACTTTCGCAGTGTTATCACTAGAGTGACGGTGAGCGAATTGCATTCCGTCGTTAACACGAACACAGAACTGATGCACATGTATCTAAGAGAAAATAGTTAAGGAAGACATTTCGCAGATGCACTGTGATACACCTGTCTGTTTTATATTATCATCATGCTGCATACAGATCGAGATATCATTATAGCAGGAAAAAAGGATACTGCGTCAAGATGTTTCCGACTAAATACACAACCAATTTTGGCATGTAAACGCCGATCAACGGCAACTCAATTAGCTCGGACGCGAGCGCGAACTTCCAGTGATCGTAGATGTTGGGTGCTAACGTCAGGAAGAATGGCAGGGGTAGCAGGTGCTGCAATGATAATTACACACAATCGATTACACACAACGATCAATGTCGATGTTGACGCAGTAAGCAGATGTGGCATGGAAAATTTACCGTATAATACAAAGCTTCTCGCGCATTTTTGCCGTATCGGCTGTGTAACACTTCCTGGTAGATACCCATTCTCGCGGAGACGAATAGAGCGATCGTGAGTAGAGATATGCCTAGAATCCACCAGAAGAAGTCTTCCAATGGTGTCGTAGGGACATGCTCCATGTCCTTTTGTCGCAAGGATTTAATTTCCTTGCCACTAACAATCGTGCAGATCGCTATACCCGAGGTAATCATAAATACTGATAAGTATTTGCTAAATGTATACTTCTTCTTTAAAATTATAATTCCCATGATCATATTGGCTATGAGAGAACCCTGTGAACACAATACAAAAATATGTGATAATTTGTACAACATTGAATTGACATTGATTTACTTACAGCTCTGAATATCATATGCAATGGCATAGGAATATTAAAGTCAAAAGCATAATTATTGCAGACATTGGTTACAAAGAACATTGTAACTAGGATAAAGTAGTCTTTTATGCCTATATTCGGCTTGACAGTGCCACATTTGGATGTGAATAAAAATCCTTCAATAGCTATAAAGATAAACTGTGAGAATGTGATAAGATTCCCACTACCAGGATCATCCCTAGAAACCAAGGATCAAATTTAATTGTCAAATCTGTGTTTGAATGTTTCTTCTATTCTCTGAAACTGTTTTATTTCTCATTTACATATTTATAAGATCAACTTGATGATAACTGTCATACACAATAGAAAATACTATACATACATACAAACATGTTGGAAGTTGATAAGCAATGTTGCCTTGTAGCAACGCAGTATTAAATCACAAAAGCATTAAGATGTAATCCGTGAATAAAGGAAAAAGTAAAAAAAGAAATTAACACCTGACAGAGCATAATGTGTACACACTATATATTATGTACACTGCTCATTATGCAACAAATTGCATGGCCGAGTCATCATTCACTCACTTGACGAGCAGCTCCAGGAACACGACGTTGGTGCAACAGCCCAGAAAAACGCAGAACACTGCGATAGCTGTCCGCATCGTAACCGTCTAAAATTTCTCTTCCCTTTGCGATTAATCCCGGAGCGATCTAACCTACAAGCAAAGTCAATACACACAATTCACCGGTTAACGTGCAATTCACTGTAGCCGTCGACTATCATGATTTATCAGTGGCTCACGTACCATGATTTGCAATGTATCGCGTGATCGCATAATAATTAATGCATATGGTAGAACTTTAAGTAATTTGAAACGAAGGCAACTGAAAGCTTTTTCAGTATTTTCTAGTACTTTTGTCCACACTTTCGTGCATCATGACCCGCAGCTGTTTCTAACGTTCCGTTCCTAAAACTGCATGGAACTGCAATAGACGCAGTACGCAAAGAGGATGTATATAATTTTCAGAAATATATAAAATAATATAGAAAAAACTGGAAGAGAATAAAACGCAAACAAACAGTATTATTTACAACACAGTAATAATTAAAATAATGTTAAACTTTTATGAATATGATTTACTAGCTACATAACTTATTATATAGTTACACACAAAATTAAATAATCACAATTTTCACAAAACAATACATTAAATTGAATGAAATATAATTTTAATAAAAATAATAGATACAAAATGGGAAGTATTCTATAGCTTAAAGCCTCGATTAAGTTTCCAGATGTATTATCAAATATAACATTTATTTATTTTTGAAAATGCTACATGAAAAAACTTTAAAAATTGAATTTTACTATTTGAAAATGTAAAAACTACGGTTGATCCACTGTTGAATTGTATTACAACTTCATATTATTGTTAAGTATAGTGAATGTATCGGATAGCAGATCATTTTTACTAATATTTGAATTTAATTCAATGCAGTAGTGTGCACTCAGCACAAACTAAGATTTTTTCTAGGCAACCTAGAAATTCTCTATCTAATAGCCAATCGTTCGGCATGATGTATGACGCGTGTAATATTGGCTTAATATTAACAAGACCCGTAAACAGAGGGACGGAACAAAGTCAGGTCCTCTCACGGCCGCCATTTTGGAGCCAGAGAATCTGCGTGGTGTACGTGATATTATCTACGTGTAGTATTATGGTTTAGTTGTGTGAGTGAACAGAGTATAATTAAAACATAGTTTAAGATGTAATCAGAAGTAACCAAACATTATTTAAACACATTCCAAAATACCAATGAGAATTTTCAGAAGAAAAACAATTACAATTCCGACTGTAGAATAAAATATTGCAAAAAACGAAAATAATTTTTGACCTGACGGTATGTGGTTAATCAGCTGAGCCACGGTCGCCGCCATTTTCGAGCCAAACCGTGTGAAATGGATGAGGACCTCCTAAATTTGTTCCGTTTCTCCATTTACGGACCTTGAATATTAGCAGAGAGAAACCTAAGAGCGGCCAATGGGCCGATTACGCTAGGACGCTTTTCTTGCCGAATTCCGACACGCCCCCTGAGAAAATATGTGCATACTACATCCGTCCCGACGGTAACGGCTAAGCATGCATGGTTCTTGGTCACTCTATTTTACCTTACAAGAGATAGTAAGGATGCTTTCCGTTTCACGCATATGCGCGCATTTATCTATAGTTTATGTCACGTATACTATAAAAAATGCGCGCATATGCGTGAAACGGAACGCATCCTAAGTTAGACAAGTACAAACGATCAATCGCTCTCCGTCTTTGTCGCATCATCGATGAACATACGCGCGGCAGGAGGATGCACGACACAAGTCATCGGCAGATCTTATCGCTAAGCCAAAATCTCTCCCGTCTTGCCCCTTCTCATCTTTTACGCAATGCCCTGCCAGCAATTCCGAAGAAATATTTCGATACTGTGCGGAAAACTTCCATTTTTATAATATTTATATTCAATTTTATAAACATCATATTCAGTTATGAACATACATATGCATATGCGTCATAAATGTTAATATGAAATAATTATTATAATTCAATTAATATTGATATTAAATAATTTTATTAACGTTAATAATTTAAATCAGTAACTTTACATCAGTAACTTGGATCATCTTCTCGCAAGGGAATTGACATATTCATCTGATTTCGAAAAAATCTCCTTGAATGAGATGTTTACGAGTCAGCGTGCAAAATTATACGATGATCGTTGAGTGTTTGCATGAAAAAAGTGAATAGTTTAGAACAGAGCTCGACAAAGTTTACAACTTTCGGTCGATTTTCGGAAGCTACGCCTTCTATCTCCCCTTACCGCGCAGCGGATCCATCAACTGACGGTCGTGGATCGCGACTTCAGGATCGTTGAGATAATAAGGCTCATCTACGTGGTGCCTACTAAAGATGCGTTCGGGGAGCGCGTCGATCAGCGCTAACGCATCATTCAATCCTTGTACATGTAATGAGCGATAAAGATAGAATAACGTGTTAGCGTTAATAGCACGTTCCTTTAACGCTTTAAACCTCAAATATTGAAAAATAAATGCATCGATACAACTATATGTATAATATTTCGTGCAAACCGGATAACGTGTCACCGGGTATAAGCTACAAAATTATTTGCTGTAAGACGTTAATCTAGGTTCGAAATAAGATTGATCCGAGCAAACCGCATCGAGCTGACATCATGCGTTTCTAAGATATAAGCCACGAAAAATGGAAAAATGACAGGCATGAAAATGAAATATTAAATATGGGAATATGCATAATAAGGTTTTAATCTAGATCCAAAATAAGAAAAACCTTTGCAAATTAGAACAAGGTGCGCGTATTCGTTATCGAGAAATTAAAGCGGAAAGTTCAAGGCCGACGGAGCGAAAATAACACATCACCGGATATAAGCTACAAAATTATTTGCTGTAAGACATTAATCTAGGTTCGAAATAAGATTGATCTGTGCAAACCGCATCGAGCTGAGATCACACGTTTCTAAGCCACGAAGATATAAGCCACGAAAGATGGGAAAATGACAGGCATGAAAATGAAATATTAAATATCGAAATATGCATAATAAGGTTTTAATCTAAATCCAAAATAAGGACGATCTTCGGAAATTAGAACAAGGTGCGCGTATTCGTTATCGAGAAATTAAAGCGAAAAGTCCAAGAACAACCGATGTGAAAATAACGCGTCACCGGATATAAGACAAAATTATTTGCTGTAAGACATTAATCTAGGTTCGAAATGAGATTGATCCGTGCAAACCGCATCGAGCTGAGATCACGCGTTTCTAAGATATAAGCCACGAAAGATGGAAAAATGACAGGCATGAAAATGAAATATTAAATATCGAAATATGCATAATAAGGTTTTAATCTAGACTCAAAATAAGAAAGATCTTCGCAAATTAAAACAAGGTGCGCGTATTCGTTATCGAGAAGTTAAAGCGAAAAGTCCAAGAACGACCGATGCGAAAATAACGCGTCACCGGATATAAGCTACAAAATTATTTGCTGTAAGACATTAATCTAGTTTCGAAATAAGATTGATCCGTGCAAACTGCATCGAGCTGAGATCACGCGTTTCTAAGATATAAGCCACGAAAGATGGAAAAATGGCAGGCATGAAAATGAAATATTAAATATCGAAATATGCATAATAAGGTTTTAACCTAGACACAAAATAAGAAAGATCTTTGCAAATTAGAACAAGGTGCGCGCATTCGTTATCGAGAAATTAAAGCAGAAAGTTCAAGGCCGACCGGAGCGAAAATAACGTGTCACCGGATATAAGCTACAAAATTATTTGCTGTAAAACGTTAATCTAGGTTCGAAATATGATTGATCCGTGCAAACCGCATCGAGCTGAGATCACGCGTTTCTAAGATATAAGCCACGAAAAATGGAAAAATGACAGGAATGAAAATGAAATATTAAATATCGAAATATGCATAATAAGGTTTTAATCTGGACCCAGAATAAGAAAGATCTTCGCAAATTATAACAAGATGCGCGTATTCGTTATCGAGAAGTTAAAGCGAAAAGTTCAAGACCAACCGATGCGAAAATAACGTGTCACCGAATATAAGCTACAAAATTATTTGTTATAAGACGTTAATCTAGGTCCGACATAAGATCGATTCGTGCAAACCACATCGAGCTGTGATCACGCGTTTCGGAGATATAAGCCACGAAAAATGGAAAAGTGACAAGCACGGAAATGAAATATTAAATATCGAAATTTGGATAATAAAATTTTAATCTAGATCCAAAATAAGAAAGATCCTCAGAATTGCAACGTCGTGCGAATATTCGTAATCGAGAAATGAAAGCCGGTAAGTCACGATCGATTAATGCAAGGATAACTTGTTACCGAGTATAAGTTGCAAAATTATTTGCAGCTGTGATTACGCGTTTCGGAGTTACAATTCACGAAAGATGGAAGAGTGACAGGCTCGACAATGACCTGTTACGAAATATTAATTACCGACATATGAGTCATAAGGTTTTTTAATCTAGACCCAAAATAATAAATATCCTCGTGAACCGCATTGAGCTACGGTTACGTCTTTCGGAGTTACAGGCGATGGAAACTGGAAAAGCGATAGATTCGGAAATGACGAGTCATGAAGTGATAAGAAACGAAAAATGAATGATGTTTTAATCTAGATCCAGTATAACTAAGATTTCCATAAACCGCAACTACTCGTTATGGAAAATTTAAAGCGGTTAGATCAAGATAGATCAATGCGAAAACGAATCAGTGGGCCTAAGCGTGCATATTGCTCCCTCTGTCGAGAGACGTGTGATTCACAGAATGGAGGTTATCTTTGGAGTCAATTGTAGGAATCGAAAATTTTCTACATGGATAGCGTTAGTTCTAAGAATTGATCTTCCTATTGGCAAGTTAAAAAAGAACGCGATATCGTTATGGGGCCAATTTTGAATTTTATAATACGATGAGTGTAAAATAATCTTACTCTTTAGTCGGCAACATGAAATATATCCAAGGACAACAATATTTCTTAACAATATTTCTTCGTAGCACAACCATTTTCACTTTAATAATAATTACAGGCCTTTTTACAACACTTATCACTTTCCACTTATTTCACTTTTCACTTGTGCATTAACTCGATGAACACGTATCACTGGCGGACTAATCCCTCGTCGTCGTTCTCGTCCTCCTCGTCGTCGTTCTCGTCGTTCTCATCGTCCTCGTCGTTCTCGTCATTCTCGTAGTCCTCGTCGTCCTCGTCGAACCTATCATGTTGTTTCATTCGAATAGTCGGCCATGATGAAAAACGGTTCGAAGCTTGGCTGGACATTCCCGATCAAGCAGACGACCGCTTCTAGCAGATATTGAACGATGCTATGGCACATATGCGTTAGATTATTTATATCTAACGATAATTCACAGATTTCGACTCAATCGGTGAGTCGGGAACGCAAAT